GTGCACAGACTCCCCGGGCGGGAGAGGGCGAGCCGCCTTTCCGTGGCACGAAGCTCAAGTTCTGGGCAAAATTATTTTACACTGACCTTGGAATGGTTGAGCAGTCTGTACATAGACGACTGCACAATTTTAGATAGTGTGTATTTGATGGAGTTAATTCAAAGAACCACATGATGGTTTTACTCATGAAATGGAAAGCATGCAGAACGATTTTAGTGGCGGCGCATTTTTAAAAATTTAATCAGCTGAAGAATCAAAGATTTTCCAAGTTGGAGTAAGGTAATAGGAAAACTGTAATTGGATTGTAGTGTAAAAATAAATACATAAGTTTCTTTTTTTGGTTTTTGTTGTTTTATGTTTTTTGAGACAGAGTCTTGCTATGTAGCCACGCTGGCCTTGAGCTCATGTTGATCTTCCTGCCTAAGCCCCTCGAGTGCTGGGACAGCAGGCGTTCACCACCATGCCTGACGCCGTAAGTTTTAGGATGCCGTGTATTTCATATACACACACATGCACTTGGATCAAATGTTGCCACTCAGTAGTTTTTACAACAGATATGATGGTAGGTGGATGGAGGGGACAAATCTGGTAAGTACAGTTCTTACACTGGGATGTGAGCAACGTGCTGGCTTCTTAGTCATAGGGTACCTTTTTTGAAATGTCTCCTTTGGATAGAATCTTCTAGAACAACTAATAATTATGAATACAAATAGATTTACATCGGTTTTTAATGTAAAGGATAGGTCTTTAAAAAAATCTGGGGGGCTGAGGCGATAGTGGTCTAGGCACCTGCCTGGCAAGTGCAAGGACCCAGGTTTGATCCTTGGCACCACATGCTGTGCTGGTGGATGCTCTTGAAACAGAAGGATCACTGAGTCTGAGCTGCATAAAATAGGTAAATAAATAAGTCTGTGTTCATGGCTGACTACAAATCTTTTCTCCAAAGAATAATTTTCCACTTTTTCTACCAATAAATGGTGACTGGAGGAATTACGAAAGATGGATTTCTTACATAGATACCTATCAGTTCCTCTTTATTATAATCATTTTTAGAAATCAACATCTTGTCAATTCTGTAATCTGAATTGTGTGTTCATAAAGGTCACTTCAAGGAGAAACTTCTGCATAGATGAGTCCTTAATAAAACATAAGATCTTTAATCAGTTTTAACGAACTTCATAATTAAGTTTCCTAAGCTCTCAAGACAGTGTATGATAGGTGTGGAGGAGCACCTTAGTGACTTCTTGAAGAGCAGTCCTCTCCATTTGGGCTGTGCCTGACCCCTTTTCCATGTATTGATATATCTTCCATGTATTGATGTTTATACAGCTGGCTAGAACTTTTCCTTATCTCTTCAGTTGGCTTTAAGCAATGCATATTGGTCTAGCTGAGGTGCTGGGGGTAGTCTTTGAAGATGGTGTCTTTCCCTGGTAACCCCCACCTGCTGCTCTTTAGTATGAGCTGGGTCGAGATAGGACAGAGAGTCAAAGCTCCCCTCTATCAGCTAGTATCAACCTTGCAGATAGAGGCTATGACTTCCTGGGGCTTGAAAGATTACACATCAGAGCTGAAGCACTGGGCCCCAAAATATTAGATACCATCTCAGTAGTATAATGCAAATTGCTTTTTCTGCATGTCCTTTCTGTGTATCACAGAGGTAAATGCAAGCCTCCTACCTAGCCCAGCTCACAGTACTCACCTTCCTGCAATTCTCATTCATCCTTAAGCCACTCAGGCCTTTGATCCAGATAGCCATCACATGCCTGGACTTCGGACCCTTGGCTCCCCATAGCTATGAATATGCCTTAGTGTCTTTATTCTTGCTGTGGGTTGCACTGAAAGTAGTAGATTGGAATTGACTTGAGGAGATTCCAATAACTTATCCATGGGATTTCAAATATAAACTTCCCGGACCAATACAAGAAGGACTTTCTATAATAGGTTTACAACTGTTACTGC